AAGGTCTACTTACCTGCAAAAAGTGACCATCTGGAATGAGTGAGTTATGGGTATGTGTCCCCAACAGAAATGTTTTATCATTGGAGGGCGAGACTCACCTTTTACCTTTCACTTTAGTCTCCCGCACTTCCAGAGTGTTCTCTTCTTCCTCCTCACCTTTTACCTGTCCCAAAACAAAAGCTTCATCAACATGACACCAATAAGGCTTTGCATTACTAGGGTTAATGCTACATAATTCCTGCCCAGCGCCTACTGGAGAACGCACAGTGTAAGTACTAGATGAAAGAGAATTCTCCTTTATAAAAATTCCTGTAGCTGTTAGCTGCACATTGATTAATATTAACTGATACTGAGGTTAGCTTTGTGCTCTATATCCAAGAACACAGAGGCTTCTCCTGAAGCTTCTGCTGGTGTTTTATATTGGCTCTTAAGCTATTAAAGAGGCAGCAAACTGTGGGAGTATGGGTCTTGGCTAGTGGCTGACCTTACTTCTCCCGCAGGTCCTTCTATGTAGCTACTTCTACTGCTGTTCTGTGACGGTGGCCATGCAGGGATAAGGCAGTTTGGCACAACACTATCTAATTCTGACATCAACAAGATGCCTCTGTAGAGACAGTCCCAGTCTTCTCACACAAGTGTCATGGACTGATCTAGGATTTTGAAATGTGGGGAGGGAGGGTTGCAGATGCTGTGGTACATCATCATCTATAACACAAAACACATTTTTCTCCAGCTAAAAAGAAACTGGAAGCTTTACTAATGTGCTAGGGGCTTAGGGCTATGTTAATCCATTGAAGATAAAAGCAGAAACAAATGTAACTTTTTACTGGAACCTGCTTTCATATGCTGCTCTACATAATGTATTAGTATAGCAAAACAAACTAGGCCAAAAATAATCCACAGAGATTAGTTCTTCAATCCTGTTGTCGTGAAAATTTAAATGTACATCTTTTTTAGGTACATAAAACAAAATCTAGCCTTCTGGAGCATCTTGACAGTGCATTTAGTGCTTCATTGAAAGGTATTTCCACACCCAGGTTAACCTTTTTAGCCAGTTTAATAAGTCTGCAGGACTGTGAAGCAGGACCTACACTGGGAGGAGCAGCCCTCGGGCAGCCGAACAGCAGAATGGCTGACTCAATCAATGGAAGATCTCACCATCAGAAAAGGAGACAGGGCCCCTAACACCTGTGGGGTGCGGCATTGAGAAGGAATTGGACATACCAGAGGCTCTCAACTTTCTTGCCCAGTGGGGCAGATGGGCAATGCCTGTCTGTCCACAGGTCAGATCAAGCTGCTGGTCCTGGTATTGGGTCTGGGGGCACAGACAGTCCCCAACCTGCCGTGTGTGTGTGTGGGGGGGGGGGGGGGGTGCTGTGCCCTTCCTCCGACCCCGGTGGGGAGTTTGACAGTAAGGGGAGAGTAGTGGTATGAGTAGCCAGTGCTCCCCCACCACCAAACTTCCCCACCTGTGGGGGATGCCACGGCTCTGCAAGTTGTATCTGCCCCATGGGCCGGAGGCTGAGCGCCCTGGGGTGGTTTATAATGAGCCACAGAGGAAGCAACTCCTCCGTGCTGCATGGCTACAAACGCTGCACGTGCGCGCGCAGCCCTGGCCTGGGGAAGGAATCAAAGGCGGGGGGTGGGGGAACGCTCCGCCGTCGCATGCGCCCTGCGTGGCACCCCCTGGCTTCCCAAGCGCATGCGCCCTGCGTGGCACCCCGGCAGGGTCTGGCGGCCCGGCCCCGCCCCCCCTCCGAGCGCTGGTTAGCTAGGTTCAGCTCGGCCGACACCTTGGCCAGGTGCGTGCTGAGGTCCACGGTGCGCTTCGCCTCCTCCAGCACCAGGTCCGGGGCCGCCAGGGCACAGCCCAGGCAGAGCAGCAGGCGCCACACGAGCCCCGCCATCGCCGCCACCTCCTGCGCCGCTCCCGCTGGGGAGGGCACAAGATGGCGGCGCCCAGGCCGAGGGAGGGACAAGATGGCGGCGCCCACTGGGGGCGGGGCACAAGATGGCGGCGCCCGGGACCGCGAGGACCCCATCACCATGGTAACCGGGAGGGCCGCTCAGTTGCCGGGGAGGTGGGGCCTCAAATTGACAACCCCCCCCCCGAGTTGTGACTCATAATCACCAACTGTTTCAAGAGTTTCTGTGTGTGATGTCTTTTATCTGACCAGCTCTATAGTTGGGCTAGAGTTAGACAAGCTTTCCAGCACAAGCCGTCCTTCATCAGGTCACTAAAGACACTGTCCCAAAATAAATCCTTGCCTCACCCTTAATTTTTACTGGAACGTGCTTTCATTTGCTATACCAATACATTATGTAGAACAGCACATCAAACAAATAAGTCCTTGCCTATCCCCTAACACCTGCACCAGTGGGCCTCCCCCAGCACCATCGCTCTTAGCGCTGCCAACTATTTAAGGTCCTGTTGTAAAATCTTCAGAGTCCACAGCACTGGGCTAAGCGCTCAGTGAAAAGCTAAAGCAGAGCAGGCTTGCATGCATAGACTGTCCTAGGATGGGAGAAGAGACCATGCAAGAGCCGTAGTCAGGTCAGGTCAGGTCTTGGGTGGAAACCATCCATGTAGATTAGACCAAAAAGCAGCCCTGAATCGGTGTTGTGGTCCCTAGCTAAAGGGAGAGATGAACCATTGCATTTTGCAGATGCCTGGGATGGCGATGTTACACTTTATAGTTGCTGTGGAGAGAGGGTGCTGGTGTCTGAAGAGATGGACCCGGGTGCGCTGTTGTGCGGGTGCCGGGGAGGGTGGTGCAGTGGTTCTTGCCGTAGGACTCCTGTTGGGTGTTGGTGGTCGGGACCAGACAAAGCGGTGACGGTGCTCTTTTAATTCTCTCTTCCATCCTGAATTTGTGAGCTCTTCTTTTCTGATAGTTTGTCTTGTCTGACTGCCACTTGTTACTCTTCTTTTTCCAGATTTAAAAAAAAAAAGTTTAATTAAACTGAACCAAAATCTAAAAAGTTTGTTAAAATCAAAATTGTCAAGTGTCAATGCTAAAGTAAAATGTTAGCAACTCAATAGCAAAAAGGGGCCAGAGCCAGAAACCCAAAACAACCAAGACAAAGTAACTAGAACTGAATTAACCCAGGCAAACAGAAGTTCTTGTAGAAGCTTTATTGGCTGAACAGATGATTGTGCATTGAGATAATTGTCATTCTGCACTAAATACCTAAAATAGATAATATCAAGACACAGATTATATATCATGTTTGCAGGACTGGAGCTGAAGACTGACAGCTCCTCAGTGCAAGTATCAGTTTTCTCTGATTGTTCAATGGAGCGTGATAAGGAGCGGGGCTTCTGTGCTATTGCAGTACAAGTGAAAAATAACTTTGCAGAACTAGGCAGAGCCTGCCAAATGTGAGAATTAGTAGGGTCAGAGCACGGGAGCAAACATCCATGGCTACTGGATGGTAAAAACCATGGACTAAACACAAACATTTTTTAAATGAGTCATCACAATTGACCCACTTCCTCTGCTAACTTCTCTATTCCACGAGTAATTACGACCCTCTTCTTTTGAATGGTCTTATTCTTTTACTTAATTAGGTTATCTCTTTCACGTGACCTTTACTTGGTTTGTAGCTATTTTGGATAACTTCTTTTGGCTCCACAGGTCACCTTCCCTTCTGTAAATGATTATTTTCATTTGCATGAGAGTTAAACAAAGATCACTGTTTTACCTGGTATTTATCTTAAGCCATCTGCTTCTTTCCTAGATCTGAAGGGCATTTTGTGCCTGAAAACTTATCTAGCATCTGTCCCAACCGTAGAGCTGGTTCAGTAAAAGATATTACAGAATAAGTTGTCTCAGAAATGTGGTAAGGACCTTAGCTAAAGATGGTCCCAGATGGGAAACTTTGGCTCCAAGTCAAAATTTCCTAGTAGCTGGGGGAGATCAGATCAGATCAGATCCAGGTGAGGCCTCTGGTACCAACACTTTAGAATGACATAAATGCCTCCTTTATTTCTTCTCTATCCCTTTGATCCCTGGACTGGGTGGTGGAGACTTCTCACCAGACAAGCCGCTTCAATGTTTGTAATTTACTTTGATTAAATGAGTGCTAGTGTAAGCCTGACAGCTTGGAAAGTAGAATGCACTTAGCACCATAAAAGTATAGCAGGGAGCAGTTTCACTCGCCCAATCCTGCCTGTGTGTCTCAAGCAGTGGCTGCATTTTGGTGATATTTTCAGGCAATGTACTAGCAACCAAAAAATGATATGGCCTGGAGAGATCCCAGGGGCAGCAGTCGTGTTCTCTTTCCCCCAAGCTGTGGGGAGCAGATGGGGTAAGAAAATGCACGAGGTTCCTTTGGCTGGCTCAGGCTTGGGTCCCATTGTCTCATGAGGAGGAATTTAGTAAATGGGAACACGGTTCCTGTTCTGACAAAGACTGCCTAGATTAGGAAGATGGGAATGTGATGTGTGGGGCCTAAAACAAAAGGGATTGGCTTAATTTAAAGTCTGTCAGCCTTGCCAAGGTCCCTCACAGATGTGGCTGATCCATAGGGCTGTGCGAGGCTTCGGATCCAGAGAAGCTTTGGAGGCCTCGGGGTCCAAAGCAACACATTCGGATCGAAGCACTGGCCTCGTTTGGCTTCCCGAAGCGGTTCGGAGCTTCCAAAGATCTTTGGAGCCACCTTGATCTCCGAGGTGGCTCCAAAGCTTCAGAGCTGCTTTAGCCGGATCGAGGCGGAAACCCAGTCCGGAGATCTGGACTGGATCGCGGCCATCCAAAGTGGCCGGATCCGAAGCTGGATCAGATAGCTGCCGACTCCCACAGGCCTACTGATCTGTGCCTGTGCTGTTGACATGCAGCAGTTTGTTCTCCTGGGAAAGATCGCTCTTTGTGCCAGTGCCACTTCCATTGCCCATAGCCCCAGTCTGCCTTTTCCTCCATCTCAGATGAGATAAATCAGCCCCAGACTGGCTTTACAGACTCTTTATACACCCAGCTTTATACACCTGACTCTACCACGCAGGAGCAATTTATCCCTCTAGCAAACAGCCCTCAGTGCTAGACAAAACAAATGAGCATCTATATTTACATTGGAGATATTGTCACACACGATGCCCTGGCTTTGAGCTTTGCATCCAGAGCCAAAGTCTGCCCTTCCTTTCCCAGATCTAAACTCTCCTGAATTTAGGAGTTCCAAATCTGAACTACCTAAAGCCTCATGTATTCAGACCATTTTTGTATAATCGTATAATAATTCCGGCTGAATGAGATCAGAATCCAGAGTTTGGATCCATCATGGACTTAAATAGCAAAGTGACACTGAACCCATGCAATACTAGCACTGCCTCTGATGCTTTGACTCTATCCCATGGGCCCAAGTCTTCTTTATTGCACCACTGTTGTCTTTTTGGAGCTTGCATCAAGAATGAAGTTGGCCCTGTAGGCCCAATTCACTTGTGTCCTGCACTTGTACAGTCATTAAACACGTGGATTCAGGTATGGCATTGCCTTTGCCCAAGTGTCAATTAAAGTGTCCATCAAAGAATGGAGCCCTGGAAGTTTACTTCTGCTTTGTGTGTAGTTTTACAAGGCAGCACTAGCACAGGGAGAGGCTGATTTTAAATATATATTTAAAATCAGCTCCTTGCTGGAACATGCCTCCAGGACTGCAGAATTCTCAGCTTTTCTCTCCTTATCTCCACCTTTGTCTTTCCCTCCCTGTGGGAGTCAGTTTAAATTTTTTTTGAGATGAATATTTATGTAATAAGGCTGCGAAGGAGAAAAAAGAAGCCAGAAGGAGCCATAGCAGATGTGCTGAGAAAGCATGGAGTGGGAGGTAGGTTGCTTGTTAAAGCACTTGAAAAATCAGATGGCTGGTGACAACTCATTACATATCACCAGTTCTTTTTCTTCAAGTTATAGTGCATTTATAAAGGGGTTTGGGCTTTATTTTGGTGGGGTGTAGGGCCCAAGCTTATTCCTAAGAGAATCAGTGGAGATGAAGCCCTGGGAGGGTGTCATTTGTATTTGCCACATTGTATTTGCCACACTCCCATTTTATTTGCAAGCTATACATAAACAGCTGTGTTCAGGAATCACCAGGGAACTGTTCTGAAGCCTGTCTAAGAAGGAGCCTTTGGCAAGCTGACACAACTAACATACAGCCAGAAAAGCTGTGAAGCTTGGTGAATTGTTTCTGAACCCCCGTGTTAGAGTCAGAAGAACAAGGGGTCTCCCCCAGTTTGGAAGGTATAGGAGTATCATCATCACCTTAGAGTATCTGACCAACCTTCCTTTGGTCCACATGCACATGCCTAGTGGCAAGGCATCACATTCCTTGAGATGCTGGCTACTAGGCAGTAGGCTTCTGGCTCCCTCTTATCTCCTCGGCCATGTGAGCAGCTGGGCTCACTCTAGCTTTCCCACCTGGCAGAGGAAATACCATGACCATGAAGGTGACAGGGGGAAGTACTCTGACCAGTTAGGTCGCTTAAAAATGGCTTTGTGTAGTGGAGGGTGCACCCTTGTCTACTTGCGAGCAGGACTCCCTACGAGAACCTCATCGTTAGCATCCCACTGGTCAGCTTCCAGTGGAAGGATCTCAGCTACACACCAACTTCATGGAAATGGGGGATTCCACCCTAGCTTGCTCCTGTGGCCATATGGCTGAGGGCAAGCGAAACGGAGGCATCTGAACCCCAAGCCTCCACGCTTCGGCCTTCACATAGATTTCAGACATTAGAGGATGGAAGGGACCTTGCGAGATCATCGAGTCCAGCCCCCATGACCTAGGCAGGAAGTCTGCTGGGGTCAAATAGGCCATAGGATGCCTGTCAAAGGATTTGGAAGTATCTGAAGCTCCACGCTGAAAAGTCTCGGGTGGAGGGTACTTGCTGATAGTAGGGCCACATAAAGTTTTTTAATGATTCAAAGGATTCAGAACTGATCTGGATAATTTGACCTGGACATGAACATTTTTTCTTAAAAAAACAAACAAAACCCTGTCCAGAATTGAAGTCAGGATTTTTTAAGCTCACTTGGTTCAAAGAAGGAGCTGGATTTGTGCATAAACAAAGTGGCTT